GTGAGGGATAAATAAAACCCTTGGGTGACATTTCAGTAGAAATTATGTAAGTGCGCAAGTGACACAGACAATATTGTATTACTCACAAAAGTGCACCTTTCAGCACTTTCCCCTAATTTCTTTTGCGGTTCTATTTTGAGAACAAGTAACTATCAGTCATGAGGAGCTCTCAGAATCCTACAATGAAATGGGAGTCAAATACCCTTCACACAGGTTCTCAGCTGAGGGCAAGGGTTTGGGGTTTGTTTGTTTGTTTTTAGCAAAATGAAGATCAGGGCCTGGCTATACAGGCACCACATCCTGGTCCCTGGTCCCTGAGTTAGATGTCACATTTTTGCCCAGATGTCAACTATTTCCCCACCAGCAAGAAACAGAAAACCCCTTTTCAGATCAGAAGGATAACCTTCGTCAGAGTCACATGACCCCAAAGCTGGAGATCAGTCATTGTGACCAGATCCCCAGGCAAGATATTCCCAGCACTTTCTTCCTAGCTAAAATTTCTGTTAGTTGTATTTATTATATTATTTTACATACATCCTAGTTCTGTGTTGATACTACTAAGAACTTTTTTTTTAAAGACATGCTATCTCAGTTTGTCAAAAGTACAGGTCTAAGTGAATTCTCGTGATCTCAAAGGGCATTCTATTTCATAAATTCTTATTCTAGAAAGAGAAAGATCAATGGAAATTATGTAATTATTGGGCCTGTGTTACTAAGTTGTAAAATGAGGTGATCAAAGAACCGCAGGAAATGACCTTCAAATGTCCATGTTCTTGTAGGATGTGGGAGGGGATGGTTGCCGGGGCATGTTCTGAACATTTTGTCACGTGCAGAGAGACCACTGGACTTGAAAAGGAATATGCTTGTCATAATAGCAAAAATCAAATGCTAGAATCCCCAGATTAATTTTACAACAGCCCATTGTTTTATTTTACCTCAGAAGATCTTAAGAAATTCATTGAATTTCCATTCTCTCCCATCAAAAACCAAACAATACGGAAACACAAAGCTCTCCAGAGTCCATGGTTGGATAGCAAAAGGAAGCACATTTGTACTAATACAGTGGGGGTTTGTTTGCTCGGTTGATTTTATTCTCTTATACCTTTTGGCTGGGCGGGGGGCGGGGGTTGGGAGTTGTTTCCATAGGAAATCTCATAAAACCTCTGTATTCCCGTTCTAGAAAAACACACTCCTCTTCATACACACAGAATTGTGTCTGCAGTTTCACAGGATCCACAGAAACCCTGCACTCATCCTCTCAACTCCCCTGAGAGGCTCCTGGCTAAGGAGCCCATTCCGGGCTATGTTGCTCTCACATTTGATGGTAGACTAATGACTTAAATTGGATCCATCTCGTCTTTGCTCACTTCTCCTCTCCCCCTCAACTCTCACGGCTGGCAGAATAGGTAGCTTTTCATTTTCAAGCTTCCAAGCCTCAGCAACCTCTGTATTATTTGCAATAAACTAACCACCTCTCATCTCCATACACATTTATTCCTTGTTCATAACTAGAGAGAAAGAAATCAGAACATTTGGAACCCACAAAATATCCTTTTGGAAGTTAGGACCTTAGGTCTACTGTAATAGTGATTCATTCATACCACCAACACCTCATTTGCTTTTTATTTTATTTTATTTTTATTTTTAAGATTTTATATTGATGTTTAGAGAGAAAGGAAGGAAGGAAGAAAGAGAGAGGAACATCAATAGGAGAATGAAACATGGGTCCACTGCCTCTTGTATGCTCCCTACCAGGGATAGAGCCTGAAATCTGGCCGCGTGCCCTCACCAGAAATCGAACCAGCAACCTTAAGATGCACAGGATGACACCCAACCAACTGAGCCATACCTGCTAGACTTATTGAACTAAATACTAACTGAGCCATGCCTGCTCAGTTGGGTGTCATCCTTTAAAAAGAGCTTCCTTGCTTTTGAAACTTCTATTACATGGCATAGAGGTCTCACCCAGAGATTGTAAGTAAGGTATCCCAGTTAGGGGCCAGAAATATAGAAAGAGTCTTATTTGTGGTATCCTGTTTAGCCAAAGTGAAGGGAGGGGAGCTGGTGAAACTGATGGGATGGCCATTAGGAGAAGGGATTGCCTTCTTTTCTGTCCCTTGAGTGGAAGGCTCAAATCGATAAGACTCATCAAGCAAACACTTCCAATCTTCTAAATGTAAATTCTGGATCTTTTAGGGATAATTATAAGTGAATAAACTATAGGTCTAAAACTGTTGGTTTTGTCTGTCTCTTAATTTCCACATTTCTGCTCTTAGAGTTCTCTCCATCTGGTGGGTGTCCAGCAGCCAGAAGGACAATGCCGAATTGAATATACACAAAGAAAGTGACATCTTCTGGGGCCAAGGAGGACCGGGCCTTCTGGAGGGAGACCCACGGGCCTGGCAGCATCGAGACCTGAGCTCGACTAAA